TATTTATATGTCAACTAAATTATAATATTAATCTATCTTTGTTAAATATTTGTTACTCCTTATATTACAATCTTATAAATTATAAACGAAAGAAAAATATTTAAGTAATATTAGCACAATTATATCTTGAAAAAGTATACACATTAAGTTGCCTTCCGTTATTTCAACAAATCAAATGTAAATCGTCAAGGAAGAATAAAAATAAAGTCTAACAGTTGGACATTGTGTCAATGTTGCAGGTATGGTTCCAGAATCGGCGAGCGAAATTTCGCAAGCAGGAGAGGTTGGCCCAACAGAAGTCTACGTCGCAAAGTGGCATCGGGGCTGACAGCGGCGCGTCCAGCCCCGTGGCCGGTACTGTGAAGGCAGAGGGACGCTCGCCGAGGAGTCCGGCGACGCCACCCGGTGGCTCGAATAGCGTGCTTTCGTCGAATGAGATCAAGCCGATCGCTAATCAGAACCTGGTGAACGTGAAGCACACGGATGGCACAAGCGACGGCTCGCCCAATGCTCGGGGAAGCAGCGGCAGTGGTACCTGGGGCTCCTGCAGTCCCAGGCCCTTCTCGGCGGCCCTACCGCCCTATCTGTTAGATCCGCTACCACTGAAAACCGCGAATCTCTATTAAACCTTCTACCCCCGTCACCGACCTGGCGGAGAATGTAAATACAGAGAGCCGCCCGCTCGTCAACACGGAGACGACACGCCGTTCAGGTTCAGGGAGCGTCCAGGTTCCTTCCTAAGCCCCGGTTTCCCGCGACTTCGTCGGTGCCCATCCGTACGTGCGGTATCTTTAAGAACTCCGGTAAGACGCGCCGCTCATATTTTTGACAAAGATACATTTAGGCAGTCGGGAGAAGGTGTGTCAGCTTACTTTGACGTAGCTGAGATACATTCCGAAATTTGTGCGCACACAAGACAGAGCGTTAAATGCCAATCATTGAAAAATCAGGAGCCGAGGTGAATATAACTTACTGTTAGTGAATTTCGATTGTGGTATTATCGTGCAAAGATTCAGAAGCCAATCAGATATGTCTGTTTCTTAAGTTTGCCGGAGAAATAATTCGTAACATCAAATATTTCGAGCAATTTTATAGCATGTGCTATGTTTATTCTGCATTCCTGTGATAAGTGTAGTAACATTTGAGAGATTAATATATGTTTCCTTGATTTTTTCTCGGTTGCTTTAATCTACACGTTGTCGTATTTGTAGATAAAGAAGAGTGAAAGAAAATAGCGTACAATTGTAGAACGTAAAACATTGTTTTTGTTAATACAAATATGCTATATCTATCTATTATTTAACAAAATAATTTTAAAAAAGGCATAACTTGAAACATTGTTTTCAGGCATCTATTGAAATCGAGATTAAATAATTGAAAAGTAATATAAATGTGGATTTAAACTCGTATCAGAATTACATTCCAGTTGCTATCGAAAATAATAGAGTTTATGCGAGTGCTTACTCCAAACGACAATTTTAATGTTCCCGAGGAATAAGAATGAGACACTTATTTATTATGATATACTTATTAATTTAATAACGTCACTAAATTATGTAAATATAATAATATCTATATTTTGTAAGACAACTTGATAAAAAAAAATAATGAAATTAATCTAAATATAATACATGTGACAATAGAGTTAGATATAAAAGATCTCTTTTTTTAAATTAAAAATTTATATATCTATACTTTTTAATTGAATAAATAATTTTCTTGAAAATTTAATAAACCAATAACTTTCAATAAAATTAACTTATTCAGGATTCATCATGATCATTACGTGAGGACTATTGTGATTTTATTCAATGTAAAATAAATCTTAAAATATCTTAAATATTGTATATTACGTTGTTTTTAATTATTTCGTTCAGTCATCGCTTTATTATAATCATCATAAAACAGAAAGATAAGGATTTCATTCGAATCAATAAAAATGCTATTAGAATATTGCTTTAACCCTCGTGGGACATTAAATTTTCGTTTCCAGTATATGCTTCCTATCCGTATTATTTTCTATTAACAATGCAAAGCTAGGATTAACACAAAAAAACACAGCGTAGAATAGTATCCATAAAAGTACTATTAATCACGCGATTTTATCACTGGATTTAACAGACTTAGTTTATCGGAGTTGATTTAAGTATTGAAAATTATGTCTATACATCGCGAAAATCTCTTACGATATTTATTATGTGTATCAAGTAGCAAAAAACGTATACTTCCACAGTAAAATCCTTGACGCAATTATTGAACGTATTTCGCACTGATTTAATGCGCGATTCCAGCGACCTGTCGAATAATTAATTAATTAAATGTTAAAAGCAGCGATCAATAAACAAAATAGGGAAGAGAGCGAAATCTTGCTTGGTGTCAAAATAAAAATGACTTTCAATACAAGAATTTATTTTACTAAATTACAAAAAAGAAAAGTATTCTGAGAATAATATTATGTTAAATTATGTTTCTGATAGGAAATTTATATTTATCTCACCTAAAAAATGTTTATATTAATATTGATATTTTTTATTTACATTTAAAACATCCATATTAATCTAAAAGAACATAGAAAAAAAGGGAAACTGACAACCAAGATTCAAATCCAATTAAGATTGCCACTTTAATTGACCATTAATTTTATATCAATTTTATATATTCTATTTCGTTATAAAACTTCTGTAAAGCTATGATATAATAATTTGTTAATTTCAATTCGATAAAAATATAAATGTAGAGTGTACAAAACTCTAGGAGGAAAGTCTTATATCAAGAATCGCTGTGTAACGCGAGATAATTAATTCGCGTTAATTCGCAGATCGACGGAATTTCTTCTTAGGAAGCCCTTAAGATAAATACCTACATACCGTCCTGTGTGTCTCGTACCAAGAAGAGCGAGGGTACCTGTCTTATCACGATATACTATGGACAATTTCGGTCTGAGGATCAGTGGTCTGACTCGTTCGTCGTGCGCCGATAACGAGCGCACCTTATTCTGCGTATGTATAGTTTATCGATTACGACTGAATCTATTTTATAGTGAGATGTATAAATGTACATTAGTTAAGATGAAAGGTATGTATAGTTCACCTGAAAATATTTTTTTCCTTTCATGAGTCTCGTCAAATCCGCCTTAACTTTTAGAGGACCAAGTAAGTGGATAAATCTTTTTCAACTATCAAATATCAATTATAGATATCAATATGCTATCAAATTGCTCTAATAATTGTAGCTATGTTAAACGTAATTAAAATTGTTATACTTGTCACGAAGGATGTCCGATTCTAATTTGCTTCTTTAAAAAAATCGATTTTTTTGTGAAAAGAAGACAGATTTGAAATGACCCTGCTTGTTAAAAGAAACGAAAAGAAAAAAGCTTGGATCAACCCTAATTATGGTTTTTCTATTTTTTTAATAAAAAGTAATTTATCTTTCAATATGATAATTTTATAAAGTATTGAAATATTAATTAGTTAGAACAAATTGTTTAACGGCGAAAACGAATAAAAAAAAAATCACCTAGTTATTAAACTCTCGAAATTATTACAAAAGAAACTGATATTTTGCAGTGACGTAAAGGTCCTCTGAAAGTTAATGGAAATAGCGTGCGAAATTTCTATCGTGTCCCGAGGCAATCCATATCCCAGTTCGATAACGAATGTGATTTTTTAACGAGGCACTTTTACAAAACTGCGTATTACTGGCGTGCAGCGAGCCGCGTTTTCGCCCGTCTCTGCGAAAGACGCGCATTATCGATTATACGCGACGGCAACGAGAGGGGAAAGGCTCGTCTCCGCAAGCCAGGAAGCGTTCGTGAATTCTGAACAGCTTCGTTGCTCCCGCCATTATTGTTAAGATTAACGAATGGTAATTATCGATATGTGTGAACCGGAACTTGTACAGTTGTTGCTATAAATATATGAAATTAGTGTTTTACACCATACTCATACTCACTTCTCTCCGTTAAAATCACTCCAGTGATTCCCAATTTCGTTAAAAAGTTATTATCTTTTAGGCCAATATTTATATTGCTATCTTAATTTCTCTATGTTTAATATTGATTTTATATTATTCTATACTAGTTCGCCTATTATTTTTTATATTTCTTATAAAAATTAAAAATCATTTCTACTTCATTATGTTTGGGTAAAAAGAATGTTCAGAGAATTTCAAGTACACATTTATTGAAAATCATAATTAAATTAGTTTCTCGTCTTAGTCGTTGGTTACATCGTTGCTGCTGGTCGTAGTCCGGTTATATAGATTGATATTTTCGTATTTATTATGTCGTCGAATATCCGCTGCAATCAATGCCATGTTTAATTATTACGCTGTAAATATCAAAATTATTGCCCTGAAGTTATAGAAATGATATTTGTCCATGATAGAGTGTTTTTGCAGTCATTACTGCATAATTTTGATCTGTTGTGCGAAACAGTTAAAAAGCAGCGCATCTTTAATTTCCATGAATGCACTCTGTTTCGCTGGCTTAATAGAAAGGAGAAAAAAATATTATCTAATATGTTTAATCTTGAGCAATGCTATTAAAAAATGTTAAATAATGAGCAATATCAGCGATGTAAAATAATCTGGCAATTTTCTTCATTGGTAGATCAAAATATATTTTGTTACTTATTGAAAGTATCTCCATCTCTTGAGCTTTCTGTAAACATGAAATAGTCTCCTAATTTTTATTTATTTTGACAAATCTGATAGAAGCTAATCATTTAAGTCAGCTTGGATCAAAATAATAAGAAAAAAGACGTCTTTAATTATTCAAAATAAAATTTTGATCAACAAGTACAAAAAAATAAATAAAGAAATATAGAAATCAGAAATTATCCAGAAAGATTTTCTATTTTTATAAAAAAAGAAACAAAAAATTTAAGCAATAAATTTGATCAAAATAGTTATAAAATCAGAGATGCTCAACTTGCCAGTGTTTTTATGATTTTAAATCTCACATCTCGCGGATCGATTGTCGAATCGTAATCTCCTATTTCCTGATCAAGAATAAAAAAAGAAAGAAAATAATAAAAGTTTCGTACGTTCGTAATTGTTCGTCATCAGATTAATCGTCATCAGATTAATCGTTTGCGTGTAGTGTAGTCATCATCAAGAATCACTCAGGTTACTATGAAAATTGTATGAAACATAGTAGAATCATTGAACATTTAATCGAATGAAACTGATACTTCAATTTTAACTCTTGCAATACGTTTACGAATCCCATAAAATGTTCATAGCACCTGATGCAAGCCATCGTGACGATTGAGCATGAATGGGTCTAATTGACTGCAAGAATAAATCCACGTATTGTCGATAACTTGCGATTGGATGAAGCATTATTTTAATAATGGCAAAGTCCCTTCAAATCTGGAATTTGAGGCAAAAGAAAATTTTACGGTAGATATTTTTAAAAAATAAATGTGTTTCATTAAGTAAGCCTATTAATTGATACATAAAGAATCCTGTACTTTTTTTATGTTCTTTTAAACGTATTTTCTTGAGCTGTTTAATCATTCATATATTTTGGAGTGGGAAAGGTACTGTGCCATTATTAAAACGATAAATTTGTATCTTGTTTTGTGTTACGAATAAATAGATTATATAATTAGTTCAATAATAAATTCATCTGTAATACGATCTCACGCACACAATGCGCGATTTCATATCGCAACATTATCAACAGCCCGCTGTGGCTTACTCGTGCGCGATCGAGCCTCATCGATCATGGAATCAAACAGACACCATTATTCTCCACTACAGCACTGTTCGCGATAATGAAAATGTAGTCATCGACATTATCGAATCGTCGTAAGTTAGGATAGGAGAAATCGAAATTCCCGGAGCAGCGCGTTCGTCTGTCGTCGGATACACAATCAGACGCCTCTATATATAGATGTATTTACATTAATATATAAGACTGGATCGAGGGTTTTCCTCGAGCGGCGTGTGAGGGAGTATGGCCTACCAATTAAGCCATCGTGAGGGTACCCGCGCCCATTCCGAAGCCTACGCCTTTAGGCCCAAAGTTCCGGTTGTAGCAACCGCGGCAGTAGATGTCCCCATCCGGACCGTCGTTCAAGTTCGTCGAATCCAGGGAACGGTTACACTCACCGCAGCTGAAGCACCGCTTGTGCCAGACGCGGTTCTTCGAGATCATCTGCTCGGCGGCGTATACCGGGTAACCGCAGCGCGAGCAACCGTGCCCGTCGTTTCGCTTCTGGCCGACCTGGGGCTTAGCGTCAATGCTACAAAATGAAAACGACATCTGAGAATCTGATGTAATAATTCATGGAAAAACTTTGATTGATGGCAAGACTAATTCAGGTGATCAATGTACATTTATTATTTCCAAACTTATATTTTTTATCAAAATTATCAATAGAGTAGATAAAAAAAAGTTATATAGAAAAATTTTATGACTCAATTAATAATCTTTGTCTTTTTATAGATTTCTCGTATAGATGCACATCTATGTCCTCAGAAAAGAATAAAAGCTTCAGGATTAATAGTTCGTTCTTATTTTAAGACCGTTTTTATTTTAAGAATTATCTTAAGTAATGTCTTAAGATGTTAATGCGTCTCTTTGATTGATTCGTCAACTACTGTACTTAAGGTAGTTTTAAATTTAAGATTTGACTATGAATATCAATCTCAATATTTCCGTACATAAATCATAGCGCTATGTTTAATAATTCATATAAGCTTACATCTCACACAATTACTCGCATGTTAAAGGAAAATTCTAATTAGAGAAGTAGGTCGATTATCAAGATCGCTATCAATCATCAAAGTTTCCCTGACAACAAACTTTTTGCTATTATATTTTGTACCGTGTTTCAGAAACTAATTATTCTTGAGATACACTTACTATGAAGGGGCATGATCTCCATTCGTCGAGACGAGAGTCGGTTTATGGCCGAATCCGAAACCTTTGGGCCCGAAGAGCTTTCCGTAGCACGCGCGGCAATGGATTTCCTTGTCAGGGCCATCGCATGCCAGCATGGAGTCTAAGGGTCGATGACACTCGGCGCAATTGAAGCACTTCTTATGCCACATGGTGCCCTTGGCGAGCTGTTGTTCAGCGGCAAACACCATGCCACCGCAACGGGGGCAACCCTGCCCAGCTGGCGCCTTAATCGAGGTCGTATCAGGATTGTAGTAAGGTCGACTGGCCGAAATTTCTTCCTCCCTACGGGTAATTAACTCGATTACGATCCCACCTGATCAATTGGACTTAATATATTTTATAACTTAATTTCTATCTGTTTAATTTTACTTGACTGACAAGTCACAATAAAATATATATAAATGAAAGTATATATACCGATATTTTAACATATTTCAAGATAGTTCAACATTCATAAGATTTTTTCTTCGTGATCGTACCATTTATTTTTGCTTGAAATTTAAATTTCAATTTCTTTTACTTTCTTAATTACAATATTTCTTACCTTTCGAAATGTACTTGTCATTTTCTCTTAAATTATGTCATATGAAATATTATAAATAACATATGTGTCAATAATTTTTATTCAAGATCGAAATTTTTTTTTCCTAAATTATATTAGAAATAATACATATTTTGCATTTATATAATAAAATTATCAAAACTCTACATACAAATAAATTAAATAATGCTTTTACAAATTTGAAAATTCTGTTATAATTTTATCAATAACCACTTTATTTATTAATTTTCACTAACTAATTCTAAGTATATCATATCAAAATGAATCTGCAAAATCATGAACTCATTTGAAATCTTTATGAGCCTCGGTTCAACGTGCATTTATAGAGCAGCTATTTAAATCGACTTGTATTTATAGTCACGCATTCGGCAGGGTGACGCTAGCATTCTCCCAGCAATGGCCTCGGGACTTACGTGAGCCCATCGGTCTGGAGGAATCCCGAGCCACATGCGAATCCGTATCCGTGCGGTCCCCACTTCTTTCCGTAACAGGTCTTACAGTAAACATCCCGGTCCGGCCCGTCACAGGCGATGATCGAGTCCAGGGTTTTGGTGCAGTCGCGGCATTTGTAGCACTTCCGGTGCCACTCGCGGCCCTTGGCGAGCACCTGCTCGGCAGCGAAGACGACGCCACCACAGCGAGGACAACCCTTGCCGGGCGGAGCCTTGATAATCGCGGTGTCGATCACGGTGGTACGAGGAGCCGCATCGCTGCATTGTAAAGAAATCGCATTATCGCGGATCATTCTCGTTCTCGGTGACTAAGTCAATCGTTGAATCACAGAGATTGCAGAAAAGCAATTGATTTATCTATTCGATTATTGTCTAAGTAAACTTGATCAGATATTTAGACTCTATATTGAATGGAAAATGGAAAACTTTGAATTTTCCTCATTTTAATTTTAATTTTAATTCGTCTCGCTTTTCTTATCTCCTCGATTCGTTTATGATATCACGAAGAAATGGAATTGCATGCGAATGAGAGGGTGATTGATCGTTGGCAATCGCTTGGTAAGACAAATAGAAGATTTGAAGTTTTTTTAAATATTTTGGTGGAGTACAAAAAATTGTATAGTTAGTTAAAGAGTCATTAAAGTCATAATCAAAATTTTTGAAATATTCTGTGCAAAAAGAAAATATAACAATTGTTCATATAAATTAAATAATGTTTTACAATAAACAATAAATAAATATATA